CTGCGGTTCCATCCCGGAGCACAGCCTCGCCTCAGGTAGGGCCCCGTTCTCGCGTGACCGCTGCGGCCGAAGTTCTCGCGGGAGCACCGCTCTCGTATAATCTCGCGCGAGGAGCCGGCTCTCCCTTTTCCGCGGCGCGGTGGCACTATGGCGGTCGGCAAGAACAAGCGGCTGACTAAGGGCGGCAAGAAAGGCGCCAAGAAGAAAGTGTGAGTGCGGTGGGGCGGGACGCGAGGGGAAGCGGGGACGTCAGCTGGCGCGCGGCGGCCGCAGGATGCCGCGAATGTGAGGCGGATGGTGGCGGATAGTGGCGGCCGGGCGCCGGCAGCTGAGAATGGCTGCTGTCATGGCGGCGGCCGGGCCTGGGCCCGCGTGCGGTTCGAGCTGCGGCGGAGCCCGTGGAGCGGCTCGGTGTGAGGTGGGGGCCGGCGGGTGAGGGCTGCGCCGTGTCCTTGGTGGGCGAGGTTGTGAAGTGTGTGGGTTTCGCATTTGTATCTCACGGAGTGTCTGGGGATGAAGTTGTTTCAGCCCAGTTCAGTCTGTTGAAAAATAGTGATTTTTTTTCTTGCTTTATTTAAATGAAGGGTTGATCCTTTCTCCAAAAAGGACTGGTATGATGTCAAAGCGCCAGCCATGTTTAATATCAGAAACATTGGGAAGACTCTTGTTACCAGGACTCAAGGAACTAGTGAGTATTGTGGTTTTACGCAGTACAAAGATAAGTGTTTGTTCTATAATAGCATTTCAAATGAAACGTAGTTATAGAACTGCTGACAGTTTTTCTTGTACGAGATGTGAGTTTTGAATTAAAAAAAGCTAACTGCCTGATTACAGCAAGTTTTCTGAAGTAGACAGTTAAAATCTAGTTTGAGGGGAATTAATGTGTTATGGTCCTTCTTCATATAAGTCTATCAAACCATGGGTAGGAAGACAAGGTTGGAGTTCCTGATGAGCTGCAGCTATAAGAAGTTCAACTGTTATGGAGTTGTTCTGGATGCCCGAGCGACATACGGAGACAGTGACAACTTGGTCATGGCTGAAATTCAAAGTTATTAAGTAGGAGGTCTTTGGACAGATAGAACTGCAAACTTAACAGGTGATTATCAGGATGCATCGCTGAATGGGTGAACTTTAATGAGCTGCATATCTCAGGGTAAGGAACCTGTTTTAGGAAGGCACAGTGCTTTAGATGCACTTAATTTTGGAGGATTAGGTATGTGGAGTAGTTACATATATTTTCTTGGTTGCACTTCGAGTTATGAAGGTTGTTGTTATTTTCAACTGCCTACTGTGATACCATTAAAATAAGGGTCACTGTAAACTAAGTATGAGTCAGGCAGTGTTAAAATTTGTAATTTTTAAGCAAAGATGTGAAATAACTGTACTCATTTGCTTCTGCTTCCTTTGAGAATACAACAACTACTCTTTGTGTTTGTCTTTACATTATTCTTCTTCAAAATGGAAGTTTGGTATCAGATTTGAGTAATAGTTTTCTAATATTAGTATAAATTGCATCTTTTTTTTAATAATACAGAAATTGCCTCTGATGGATTGAAGGGTCGTGTATTTGAAGTGAGTCTGGCTGATCTGCAGAATGATGAGGTTGCCTTCCGTAAATTTAAGCTGATAACTGAGGACGTTCAGGGCAAAAATTGTCTGACCAACTTCCATGGAATGGACCTCACCCGTGACAAAATGTGCTCCATGGTCAAGAAGTGGCAGGTGTGTAAACCACAAGGTCTGCGTTACTGCTTTCCTCTTTAGGAAAGGAAATGGCTGCCGGTGTGTTTTAAAGCTGTTTCCCATGGGTTCGGCAGATATTAACCAATGTCAGGTGCACATTTGGGAAGCCTCTCATGGGCATAACTGTTTTTTTTGCAGACGATGATTGAAGCCCACGTGGATGTCAAAACTACCGATGGTTACCTACTGCGCCTCTTCTGTGTGGGCTTTACGAAGAAGCGTAACAACCAAATCCGCAAGACTTCCTATGCCCAGCATCAGCAGGTTCGGCAGATTCGCAAGAAGATGATGGAAATCATGACCCGAGAGGTCCAGACCAATGACTTAAAAGAAGTTGTCAATAAGCTGTAAGCTGATGGTTTTCTCTTTTACAGTCCGTGTAATTGTTTCAGTTACTGACTGAAGGCTGGTCCTTCACTTCTCTGTTTGGCAGAGACCATTGTGAAGTGTGTCTCTGGTGCTGAAATGCTGATGTGCTTCATTGAACGCTCGTCTCTGCATCATGTTTGCATTAATTTAAATCAGGCTTTCCAAACATTTTTTAAACTGAAGTCTCTAGAATAAAACTGTAACTGAGGGTAACGCTTTACCCTCACTCTGGCGATCTTGTTGAACTGATGCAAACTCCTGAATGTTATATATTCTTAATTATTTTAAGTGTGTGTTGCTTGACTAGGAAGCAGGCACAGTTCTAACGTTTTAGTGCTAATCTGCTCTCTTGACTGCACAGGATCCCAGACAGCATTGGCAAAGACATAGAGAAGGCGTGTCAGTCCATTTACCCCCTTCATGATGTCTATGTCCGCAAGGTTAAGATGCTGAAAAAGCCCAAGTTTGAATGTAAGTCAATCACTCCTCACATCTAGGGGATTGAAGGGAGGGGGGGAAGGGAAGACATTTGAAAATATCTGCTTTTGGGGAAAGACATTAAAGCAGCATCAAAAGATTGCATGGCTGTAGTAGTTAAAGGCTTGTCCTTCTAGGCAGATGTTTGGCTTTCGGGCTGGGAAGTCACATAGTGGTTACTCAGTTTGAAGCTTTTCTTGAATTCTTGCCTGAAACTGAATATTTAAAGGCTCTGGTTTGGGAATGAATGATGACAAATTGTTTCGGTCCCAGATGACACGGAATGATTTTAATTTTCCCATTTTCTGACATTCCCATATGATTAGGCACTAGGTTATTGAAGTATATGTATCTGTAACTTACTCCATTGCTTGTCTTATGTTGGACTCCATCACTTAGTCAGCATCATCATCTTGCACGAGTTTTTTGCAATGGAGTCGACCATACCTACTACGTGACATGTGCTGGTGGTTTAATTTGTACATGGTAATTAATTCAGTTCTTCAAAGCTGTTTAAAATAGGTGTATCTCACTGTTTGCAATACTTCTTTTTAGTGGGCAAGCTGATGGAACTGCATGGTGAAGGTGGTGGTGCTGGAAAACCTTCTGGGGATGAGGCAGGTGCGAAAGTAGAGCGAGCTGATGGATACGAGCCGCCTGTGCAAGAGTCTGTCTGAAACCACAAATTGACCAAAAATAAAAGGTTTATTACACACAACAAGTGTTTGGTTGCATGTATTGGTACTAGGTGATACTGCTCCCAGATGTATTTTTTTAATAAGATAGACCTCTGTTTGAACTGAAAAGGAGAAAATAATTGCTTTGGAAATCTTTTCTTTTTTTTTTTTTTTTTTTTTTTTTAAATGGCTGGTGTTGCAAGACAAGTGGAAGATGATGGTTTGTCCTTTTTTTGAAAGATGCTATTAGAAAATACACTAAGGTTTCTGCGTTTTTTTTTCCCCAAAAACTTTGGTCCTCACAGAAGAAACTGAAAGTGGGTTTCAAGGTTGTATTTAATTGGTGAGAAGTGTGTCAGATGGAAGCACTGTATAGAGCTCATCGGTAAATAGAGGGAAACCTTTTGTTTCAGCATTTCTGTCCTGTGAAGGCATCTTCAGGATTTATCACGTGACTGAATTTGGTATGATCTCTCATGGAACTTAAGAACAGTGGGAGGTGTTCACTGTAAAATGGCAATGGTCTGTGTTCTAAAAGCACTCAAATGACTTGGCAGATCATCTGTGTTACCTGCGTCAGGTAGTTCGTCTCATTTTTTGTTGTGTATTCCAGCTTAAGAAAGTGTTTTTCTGGCTAAGATAAGGGGTACGCTTTTATGTTGTTTAGAAATAATGGGAGGGGTAAAAACCACACATCTTCTGCTACTGAATTGTTGGCACAGTTGTTCCTTAAAAGCTGAGAAAGAACTGCTTTCACTTCTTCCAGAAAGATGCTGAGGTGTTGGTGGCTCTTCCTGTTAGCTGTGAATTCCCTTGGGACAAGGACTGGAGGAAAATAATGAAAAAGTTCATCTTGCAATAAAGATACTGGGTGTGATCATGAGGGCTGTGTTTTTCAAGGTTAAGAATTTTTACATTTTTGCAGTTAATAACTTGTTTGGAGCAAATAACAAGCAATAGGGTAAGGACTTCCACTAATTCTTTTATATGCTGTAGATGATGTGATTTCACACTGTGGTTCAATTACTTTCCTGTCTTAATTGCAGTCTTAATTGCCCGACAGCTCCCAGTGCAGAACTGGGTAGGCAGTGAACAGAGGCAAGTGTTGAGCAACTTTTTCCTTTTCCTCACTACAGTGCTTGCGTGAACTCATGCAGAAGTGCCTGGTTAAAACTAGTAAACTGACAAAGCTTTTTTGTTGTAAGATTATGAAAGGAAGTTAAAATACTTTTTTTCAATTCAGTAGTTAATCCTGGATGGCATGATTCTTCAAAGTACAATGTGTGTACAGTCATGTCCTGAAAGTGTTTAGTTTTGCCTTGGCTTTTCAGTTCCATCCAGCTGTTTTTTGTCTTCATTAACAGTAGGCTGCTGACATTATCACAGAGTGGCTGTGGGTACATTTGTACTTGCAAAGTCACTTCACATGTAGTAGGACAAGTAGTTGTGTCACTGAGCATTGCCATGGTTGTGTCACTTGCTGTGCTGGGTGGTTGCTGCAGGCAGCAGTTGATAAATTCTGCATGTGTGAAGCACACCTAAATGCAAAGGCTTGGCTTAATTGTTGAAGCCATCAAGATTATCTGAGGGGCTTGCACTGCTGCTGAAGAGAAGAAACACCGTTTTTGGTTTTTTTAATGTTGAGTTAAACATAGAAGCAGAACACGATCTGTACCCGTCACATTGAGTGGAGGGCTTAGCTCTCTACAGTGTAGGATGATAAAAATGCAATCATAATGTAATTATAAAAATTTATTGGTTAAATACATTTTTAATTTACAGAGGTACCATAACAAATGTACTAGACTTAACAAAGATTTATTTATGACACTGTTATCTGCACATAGAACGAAGTCCTCTTCCTCAAGATAGTTCCAGAGGTGGGACAAACAATAGAAGCTTTGCTTATCAAAGCTTTTATTATTACACTTTTGTGTATTTTGTTTGTTTTTTGTTTGGGGCTCTGGCTGAAGTTTGGGGTTACAGCTGAAACTTGCTACTATATTGCAGTTAGGAAGGGTGTTCAGTTTCATTCTTCCTTTTCTGCAGCGTACTGTACACCTTAATTCTATCATCTGTATGCAGTTTCATGGTGATAGTAGGCATGAAGTCTTTAACAGTCACTTCTGTGTAAGGCAAGCCACTAACTACAACTTTTAATAGGTTAGCTGTCTGCAGTAATGTAAACAGCATGTAGGTGGCACTCCTTGCCCAGACTTTTAAGGCTCTGCTGCTTTTCCTTCCCAGCAAGATTGGGAGGAAATGAATAATGTAAGAAGAGTGAACTTACCTACTGACAGGCACTGACTTAAAACATTCAGTGGAAGATAGAAAAGCAACTGGTCAATATTACAGCTATAAAAATGTGGGAGAGGAAACTGAAAAAAAAAAATTTAAAAATTCAGTTCTACTTGGAGACTTGTATCAAAATCTTAAAAAACTGCCAGGCAAACAATAAGTAAAAATTATACACTTAAGCCTCCTCCTCCCACCACAGTGATTGTATATTTTTTGAAGACCTGGTACTGTGTTTGGTGGAGTGGTTTTTTTTGTTCTTCTCATGTTCTGCTTATAAGAAATTGAGAATTTGTCTTGGTAGAGATCATAATGGAAGAAGCGAGTTTCAAGAGGGTGGCCCACAGTTTAAGTCAAAAAGTAAGAAATCTCTCTTAGGTGTTCATTGCATTGGAGGAATCTCTCATTTGTTTTGCCTAAGTCCTACAGAAAGCAAGGGCTGGCTTATCTGTATAAAGAGCCATGGGCAGCTCCAGGTAGCAGAGGTTGGAGAGAGTTGCCTCAGAGGTGGACTTCAATTTAAGTTGAATTCCACAGGAGTTCAGGACAGGCTTGTTGGGATGTTAAAACTCAATAACAGCTGTACAGAATATGATGTTTCTATCTTTCTAGGATAGCACACATGCTGTAATGGTTTTTATCATGTTAATCCCTCTAGTGCAATTAAAAATCCAGTTTGTAGCTCATTAAAGCTTTGTGTGATCTTCATCCTTGAGGCGCGTGATGGAGACACATAAGCGTATAGCACTTCTAGAAGAAAGTGAAGCTCCTAGAGAAAAAAGCATGCTATTATCGGTCAGTTTTACAACTCCTGTGGTGTAACGATAAATTCTGCAGAGCAAAGCAGTGCTGAGGACGTTTCAGATGAGCTCCAGTGTGTTGCTAATCTCCAAGATCTGCTCGCTGCTGGAAGAAGCCCTTCAGTTTAGTTCTGACTGGAAGCTTGTATTGCCTGTTTGCTGAAGGGGAGGGAGGGAAAAGCTTTTTGCACCAGTAGGTACTTGTTGCCACATTTGGACCTCCTATCAACATAACTGTAAGCCAACACAAAACTAAGCTGAACCATCTCAAGGTGAGTCATGATTGTTCTAGTTTCCACACTCTCCATCAATGTCTCAGCTGCTAGCGTTCTGGCAACCAGAGCTTTAAGGGAGAAAGGCCTTGTATTATTGTTGTCATATCTATGCTTCTGAAGTAATGACTCATAATAACAACTTGATGTTTCTTTTTCCTATATGGTACTAAAGTAATAGAATATTGTCAGCACTGCAATGAAGTTTTTTACTCCTCCAGTCTGAAGTTATCTGCTAATCAAGACTTATTTAACAACTCTGTCAGAAAGTGTCACAAAATGGCATTTACTGTCAGAAGGTCCAGCTACCTCAGTCAAGGTCAGTTGCTGTTGCTGAAGTCACGCTCCTGCTTTACTAAATGATTTTGGTTAAGCTTCTTTGAAGCAACGTCTTGCAAGACATTTTATCCTTAAAGCTGTGACAGACCATTTATAATGATGCTTGGTATAGCTGGTACGTGCTAACAACTTGAAAGCTAACCCTGTGCCTGCTGAAAGCCAAAACCAAGGCTGCATAATATCCTTCAAGTTACAGATAGGAATAGTGTTGCTGAAGTATGTTCCAGTGCTTGAGCAGTAGATGAAATGTAGACTGAATGCAGACAGGCTTTCCACTGAAATAAAAGGGGGTGGAGGAGCAAATGGTTGAAATAGTATAACTGTGCTGGGAAGAGAACTGAGAAAATGGAGTAAATGCTGTCCGTCACAACTCCTGCTGGGAAAGGGTAGGGTGGTGCTTGACGAAGAGGGAATAGTAGGAAAACTAAGGCTCTAGCTGGAGCAGATATTTGAGGTGGGCAGAAACATTTAACATGGTTCAAACCAGTGTAAGTGCTATTAGTTAAGAGGAAAAATAATATATTTTCTGATCTCCCTTTTTGAGCTGTTTGGACTAAGAACAGGAGAATTCTAGACAAGGATTTGAGTTTTTCCTCTTTCCAGTTTAATTTGACATTTTTCTACCGTAAGTTATCTAACTAATAAGTGAATCCTGCTAATGTGGGAGTCAAGCAGTAAAGAAACCTGAATATTGAACATGATCTACATACCGACTGCTGGAATTATATATTAAAAACATCACTTTGAACAGTTCTTAAAAAGCTCAAATAGGCTTACTTTATGCAGAGGGTGTGCATGATAAATGTAATACCAGATAGTAAACATAACAGAATACTATTTAAGTTAAAACCGTGTTGCACCACAGTATTTCCCTTGTTGGAGACCACTAAAAATTGCGCATGTATTTGCTCTCAGAGCTTTTCTGAAGCATGACTAAGTACGTGGTCACAAAAGACTAAAATCTTTTTTGACTTTAAGATACTCATATGACTGTCCAGAGTAAGTAGTGCAAAACATAGATAGTCAGAATACATTGATGTCTTTGTGAAAACATTCTCTCCCAGACACAGGGAGTACAAGGACAGGACACTTCATGGTGTTTTTAAAATTTGAACGAAGTTTTTGGGAAATATCCCAGATCTTCCTTGTATCTCTCCACTCATCCAATCCTCGTCTACAGATTCCAGCTCTGTTATAAAATCTCCTGCCTGTAAAACAAGGAGTAACGTGAGCCATTACATCTTTCCATGTAGTAATAGGCCATGCACTGTTGATGTTATTCAGAAGAAATTAATAGCAATTAAACAGAATGGTAGTAGGAGATGATCGCTCCTGTTAGATTTCTTTGAAACTACATTTACCTGTCTCTTAGTGCAAACACTTGCTAAGGGTTGAAAAAACCACCAGTTTGTGAGAGGAAAAAATAATGCTGCCGGATAACTTCCTGGAGGTAGGTAGATGTGTTACAGAGATGGCTTACAGGCTGCTGCCTCGCTCACTGTGCGTGTTCCTGCTTTGCTATGAGGGCTTTTCTTCTTCGAACACTTCAAATATTTTCTTTCAATTCAGTCCCAGTATTTTCTACAACTTGTAAACTTCACCCTTTCCTTTGGAAACTTTCTCAAAAAGGAATGCAGTTGAAGCTCAATGTGGCCTTTAAAGTCAGTGTGGCTTTATCTTCCATGTTTGATCTTTAGTCCTGCTTTCATCTTCCCGTGCCATTCCCTTCATTCCAAGTATTGGCATAGCTCTAGCCTTTCTACCAGTACCTCAGTTCCCCTTTTCTGTTTTAAGTCATCATCCATCCATCATCCATCCCGTAAGGCAAGCTGCTAACACAGAAACTAATTATTTTCTCTTTCTAAAGTAATGTGTTGCAGCTGATAAATGCAATCTTGGACCTGATGCTAAAGTCTGCTGGTTCTTAGAAACTTGCTTTTGAGGACATTTACTTCAATGTCATGTTTTTTCATCTACTGAAACATACCATTTGTTTGTGCTTTTTCATATTATATAGGCATACAGCATATACTTCCTTCTCCTTTTGCTCACAGGGCAACTGAGGATCGTGCCGCCAAACTTTCACATCAACTTTAAGGTTTTGCAGTAATAGGTCTCTCTTAGAGCTATCCCTGCTGTAATGCTGTCACCCTATTATCAAACCATCATGTTGCTGTCTTTCCAGTCAAAAAAGAGGCCCCTTTGACCTTATTAACTGATCAAGAACTGAATGTACTACAAAATGAGGTGTGTGGGTTTTGTCATATGTACTGGATTAGGGAAGTCAGAGAAAGACTACTATTCCTAACTTTACAGTGTCTTTGGTGAAGATTTTGACTATGTTAAGGACCAACATTTTTAGTTGCTCTATATCAAATACATTAATAATTATGTCTATTACCTGAGTTCTGATGTTTCACGTTCCAAACTTATTTTAGATAACTTTTTTTTTTTAAAGGCACTCCTTAGCAACATAAGATCTGCTGAAAAATTGGACCAAAAAAACCCAAAAAACAACAAAAAAAAAAAAACAAAAAACGGGGCACTTACTTTAAAGGAAAGCTCATCTTCATTTTCACCATGAAAGTCGTAGAGAGCTTGGGCTTTTTTTTTCTTCCCTCCTAGAGACTGTGATGTCTCTACCCTGGCTGCAAAATATGGAATAGATGAGTTATTTGGATTTGAGGAAAATCTATCTTTGTTTCTGGGAAAGCTTCCTGTTATGCTGGTGTTTTCTCCCCACTAGTGTGTTATCAGGTGTCCAAATGTTATTACTACTGCTACATGGCAAACTCACTGTTATGCTGGACTAAAAATTTGTACTGCTGCCAGTTCATTTTACAAAACTAACACATGCTTGTGGTTCCACTTCTAGAAGAATTAAATGTTAAGTTCACTTCCTTAAACTCTCCAACGCAGAAATGTAAGGAAAGTTGTCATTTCCACTTTCTAGTTGGAGATGCAGTAGCATTCTGTTCTGCATGTATTTAACTTACACTATTACTTTCCAAATTGCACTCTGACTAAAGCAATGTACGTCATTACTTCAGAAACCAATTCAGCACTTCAGTTCAGCTCTAGGATGTTAATGTCTCCATTGGTGCACGGTTTTTAAGGCAGTGGAATAGCTACGTTCTCCCAGAAATTGGTCATGACTGTTGCATGGAATAATGAGCTGTCATCTATCAGAGCACCTACCTGAGCAGGTCTGAACAAAAACTGCTGGGAAAATCCCTTCCTTGTCATTCAGTCTTCCTCTATACCACTCAGAATCTACTTGTTCCAGTATTTGGATGTAGTCTCCCTTTCTAAAGGATAAGTCATCTTTGGTTTCTGCTGTAAAATCATGAAGTGCTTCACACCACTCTACTGAGCATCGGTTGTTCTACTCAAATGAAAGAAGAAATATGTTTATTTCAAAAGGGAACAGCAATAAGCCCATGGATGTTGGTCAAAACAAGAGTACAAGATTTGCACATCCTGATTTTCCCTCATGCACTACTGTCACTGCGGATACAAACCAAAAAAGCATTTCAAAGCATTTCAGCAATTATTATATAATTTCATCTAAGCTCACAAGCACTCCTTTTTACCAGAGATGGCAGAGGCTAGGGTTGGACCATTTCACAATACTTATGATACACCTAATAAGAATTGCCTTAAGCAGAAAGGACAAAGTTGTTAACTTGCCAAAAGCTGTGAAATCAATCGAGGTAGAGCAACTGTAAGGCTTACAGATGTGCCCACACACCATTACGTACTGTGGGAACTGTACTACATTTAAGTTGGGCTGCTAATCTGACATTACAAAGTCTATGCTCATCTATGAAACCTCCGTGTAATTTCTGCCCCTCCCCACTCCCCCCCACCCATGAAATTCTATTACCTGAAGAAGGGGAGAAGAAACCTCCGCCTTTTTCTTTAGTGCTCCTCCTGTACCTATGTAGCAAAGAACAACTTCAGAATAGTAGCAATGACTACTCAATATAACATCAGCAACTTTAGATATTCAAAGTGACTGTTAAGAGTAACTTCAAAATAGTATTCCTTTTCACTTATCACATCCATCTTCTCTTCCTTTCCACCTCCCTTCTCCTGTGTATTGTTATTTTGGACTTCTATATCCTTCTTACAACTGCCTATGTGTATTGTATAAAACCACATTCTTTAACATTTTTGCTAATGTGGTCATACCTTTTTCAGGCAGATCTTCAATTACTTCCACAAAGTTCAAGGGAAAAATTCCAGACGCGCCTCTGAGCTCTCCTTTGGCCCACTCTTCATTTATATATTCTTTAAGGATAATTGTTTCACCTTCTGAAAAACTGAGTTCGTCTCGCTCATCTCCAATGTATTCAAATCGTGCTACACACCTTGGGCCTCTGCACAAGCAATACAGGAACTTACTTGGTATATTTAATATTGTTGTGCCTAAAATATTCAGGTAGTGCTACACAAAGAATGCATTGATATCTTTTACTAAAATGATCGAAGAATGCACTTAAGATTGAACATAAGGAAAACTGGAGTTCTGACCAACTTATCATCTCTGCTTCCTGAGGAGGATGAGTATGGAGTCTAAAGGAAACGGAGGTAACATCTGTATCTGAATTCCTGGCTGCTGCAGTATTTTTGCTGAAGTTCATATTCTTTCAAACAAAAAACATCACTTCTACATGTCCTATTCTATAATTTTGCCATATCCAAGTCATGCTTTTGTTAAGAGCATCCCAGAGTGGAGAAATAAATCATTGAAGATAAAAACATCAGTGAATCTGACACATGTTATGGAGTTTGGCAGAATACTGAAAAATGAATTTTATCCTTTTCCTCACTTAACAATTTTACCTATTTTTCATATAAAAAAATCTGACTTATTAGAAATGCCACGTTGGAAAAAAAAAACCTGAAAATACACTACATTTCTAGAGCATAGTTTAAAGCAATCTGTAAGCTTGATTCCCATCTGCACTCATATTCTCTTTAAAGTTGCAGCAGTAGCATTTTCTGCACATTTGTTAGCTGCAGAAGCAGCCTTTCAGTTAGGACAAGCCTCCATCTATCACAACAAGGCCGACACTCCTGGTGATACTAGTTCCTATCTCTGCCTGAATTAGTTCTACTTCCTGCAGTTCAAAGTTATGAAAGCCAATAAAGCATTACTCAGTTAAGACGTGTTCAAGAGAGCTATATCTATATAAACATTTGTTATAAAGTAACATACCAATTTTTAAACATTCAAAGTCTTTTTTTTTTCCTGATATAGTGTAATGCCACTATAATGCCATAAATGTTTAGTTTTTTAAATAATTTCGGTGAGGAAATTATTAACCATATTAGTGTCAGCACAGATAACACCTACTTCCACGTTACCTTTCCTTTTAATTACTACTAATCGAGGTAAGAAAGAAAACAATATTTATGTGACTCACTTAATGGATTGTGAAGAGCAGGGTATTTTTTTCCTTTTGCCATCTTCTGGAATATCAACCTAATAAAACAACAAAAGTAAAATCTTCAATTTCAAGCTCATGCCAACGTAACTACTGCAAATACTGAACTTGTTAAAATCATCTATTTCTCCATTAAGCATCAACTCCTTTTGTTATTTTGACGTGATGCTATATAGTCACTGATACATTCTGATACATGACAATGGTAATGCGGATTTGCTTTTGCGTGAATGATTTTTCAATCTCATGCATACTTCATGTTTTTTGTTTTTTAATAGCCTACTTCAATAAACTGGCTTACAGCCAGGCCAATTGACAGAAAATGGGACTGGATGCTACTATGTGTTGTTGCACTTTGCTCCAAACTTTCAGTAAGTAATTGCTCTCTATCACTTGCCAGCGCAACATATCACTACAGGCAAAATTAGTGTTTACGCATTTTTCTGGGCTTTGGTAGCCAGCTGTACTCAGAACAAACGCACTTCTCCTAAATCTCACTTCACTATTCATGCTGTGGCAGCATATATTTCAAGAAAGGTTAATTTAGGAAAAACAAACAATCGTTCTTAGCCCAGCTGTAGATAGTTACCATGTGCTAATTAAAGGGATTGGAGAAACATCATCTAGAAAATCCATATGTGGATATGTCCAACAGACAGCATTGAAGTCCATTATCTTAAAAGGACTTTAATTGTACTTCTGGTATGATATGAAGGATGGTCTGTGATATTTATGTAAGACTACGTGCCCCTACAAGCCTAGAGATCTTGGCTAGGAGCTTTGTGCTATAGCTCACTATCACATAAGCCAGTTCCACACACATCAACAATAATGTTTAATTGCTTTTGTGAAGGGCTGCATGAAACCAGTCAATTTCAGACAAAGATGATTTTCAGGCAAATAATCTTTTCACTGCTTGCTAGAGAAGCTTATATCTGTGGTGCTCCTAAGTGTCTTTGAGAAACAATAACTATGTATTACCGTTTGGTATCCAGACATGAAGCTCCTATGTGGCTTGACATCATAAAACACGCTGTGGTGTACTGATGGAGGCCTTGTATGGAGACCTAAGCTGACTTGAATTCTCAGGAAAACTCACTCAGCAAATAAGCTGTATTTACATTTTTCCCTCTTTTTTCTTTTTTCTAATTTTGCTAAAACAATTATTTTCTCACTCAAAGGGTATCCAGCTTTTAAAACTAAAATAAATGAGTGCAAAGTCTCTTCCCTAGCTTTTAGGAAGTTACTTCTGCCAGCATCAATGCTTAATTTGATCTCAAATACCCATTCCACTGCTTTAACATCCAATCTTTTATCTGTAAGCCAGCAGTTTTACAGAAATATTAATGCTTTAAATTGTTGTTTTGTGTCAAAGAGAATACACAAGGTAGCTAACAAATCTTTCTCGCAAAGCAAATCGAATACAGTTCCATAACTACTATCTGCAGGTCTATTTGTTATTCTTCAGTGCTTTCCAAGCTTTGAAATTCTCTTCCAGTAACATACTACAAACTGAACAGGCACCCTACAGAACGTACCGTGATGGTTACTGAGTACATGGTATTTTTCATACAGCAGCACCTCTCATCTCTGCCAGCTGCCCAGTATCAGCACAGACCTTAACTGTCTTTAGCAGCCAGCCATACACCTTCACTGCATCCTAATGTTAACTTACTGTTCTTCCATGCCCAGTTGGCTGAGGTGGATAGGCCAATGACCCTTCATACAGGCACAAAATGGACTTAAATTCCAAGTTGGGCTTGCAATAGATATCATCTAGCTTTTGAGGCATTGAACTACGCTGCATTTCTTCTAAGCTGAGCCTCTCAATTCATTTCTGTTGGGCACCAAAACACCACCTGCCTCTTGCTTGCAGTTTACTGGCAAATGTCACATTCAGTAACAGGACTGCTTTAAGCTGCCCATTTGCAATAGCACAGTCTCCTTTCACAGTGCCAGCACACCCATTTGTGAAGCCACGTAGGCGAACTGATCCATCTGGAAGAAAGAATTCTGGGTATAAAGAAAAAATGTTTCACTGGGCTCAAATGCTGCCCTGACCCAATTTACTACACGGGTGCACAAGTGGTGATTCCAGCGTAGCTTACGGGGACAAGAATAAGAGAGAAGTTGAGATGAGGGCAAAAAGCTATCATCGTACTTGTATGCTGATTTTTACATGCAGCCATAAAAATAATCTGCTTGTAGACCCAGATAAACTACCCAAGTTAAGAATGAGAATCTGGTAAGGGCCATGGTTTTCTCATTTGGCTTGAAATTAACAGCAAAATAAGCTCCATAACACAAGCTGGCTCTGCCAAATCAAGCATCTTTCTAATATCATACAAACAAGTTGCTATGTCTTCTGTGATGCCAGAGGAAAAAGAGATTATCTAAATAGCAACTACAGTAAAACATAACAAAACCAATGCGTTAGGATTCAGCAAAGTATGCAAAGCCCACATACAATCACTTGAACAAAGCTGGCAGGAAATATCCCTGTGCGATTCCCACATTTTCCTCTGTACCACTTGGCATCAACTCTCTCCAAAAGATAAACAGTATCTCCGGAACGAAGGTCCAAGTCATCAGCGTGCTCTGCAAGACAGCATCATGTCACTTAATGGGGGTTTTCACCCTCACTGATTTCAATCATTAAAACTTCATTAATATAAATACCACAGACAAAAGTGGAGTAAGTTTTCATAGAGCCTTAACTGTACTTGCTAAACAAATTAGCTTTAACAAGACCACCCACCCAACCATAGGTAAAACCCTTGGATTTTAACAACTTTACATGCAAAGCTTGCACGCTGTGCTTCCTGACTATTTTTAAGACCCGAGTCCTAGGAAAATCCCCATTTGAAAGACTTGGAGAAAAATAAGCTTCCCAAATATTCACATTTACTTACCTGCAGAAAAATCATGCAGTGCTACAGCATGGGGAGCACTTGTGTCAGAAACTTTCGGAGAGCTGTTTGAATCCTGGCAAAAACAAATTCAAACAGTTTATACATCATGGAAGATTTTAACACAGATTTGCTGTCATGAATTCCTTAAGTCCTTTTCTGACTTAGGACACAACATTTATCACGATATCAGAAAATCACTGGAGGCGACAAACTTAAGTACTGGTCACTGGTCTATATTCTGTGTGCCTTCTGCCAGGGTAAACCGAAAGATATTTCACTGAAATTTACTTTTGACCCAGCAAAAGGAAAGGGAGGGCATGTAATTTTTTTCTAGTATAGACAAAGCCTCAACTATCTCTGCGTGTCAGAAAGCTGGAGAGCTGATGGCAATTCTCTCTGCCAAAGGCTGTTGCCCAATTCTGTGCTGCCACTCAATAATGCATGACATCAGTCACTCCTCCATGCTCAGAGACCCAGCGCACACAGCACAGTCAGCACATCTACCAAGTGCCAAATACTTCAGAGGGGGAAGCAAGACACCAGGAAGTTTTACAGGAAGATAACAGGAGAAGTTACAAATTCCTTTTGGAATCTTTGTAAAGGGAAATTATATTCACAATGTTCAGCTTCATCTCTAACCCACTCACTAGGAAAGAGTTTTTAGACTGTACTGTTTTTCAATCACAGTGTAAAAAACAGTATTTTACAATCACTATGTATGAATTGCTTTCAAGCAAAGTAATTTGTCATTAAAAACAAAGGAAACAACCAGAAAAATCTAATATGAACGACAGAATAATATGGATAACAAGAAAGAAAAGAAACCTATAGGTTTCTGCTAATCATAAGTCTGCACATAGCTAGAATTTATACTGGCTATTTAATATTAATACAGCCATGCCCTAAAACACATTCAATTTTGTATAAGCCCAAAGCAAAGAAAATACTTCTAAGACTTTAAGTCAATTCACTGATACATCACATACATCCCTTTGTAAAACTAACTGCTTAGCTTTTGCCCATCTTTCAGATACTCAGCAGAGGGAGTCATATCTTCATAGGAGACAGAGGAACTTCGCCAGTTTCCCTCTCTTCTGGCACTCCAAGTAATTACTGTTGCTCTGCTCCACAAGCAGAATGACCTGGTGCCACAAGGCAAATCACCAGTATTGGATTCTGTTTCGGCGGTTGCTTTGTTTTTATTAAAGAAAACACAAGGATTTAATGAACCATTATTGGATTTCTCAGAGTAACCTTTAAAGCCTAAAGCACTTGATATTTTAACATAACAGAGGCTTTGCTCAGGACTCTTACGCACAAAACATGAAACACCAGAAGAACATGTCTTACCTTACGAGACAGTTCTCCACGGTTTCTGGGAAGGCAATTTTCCTTGGCAACTCCACGAGGCACAGACAGCTTGAATAGGAGCAAATTGAAATAGTTTGTTTCATTTTGAAGCACGAAACATTTCACAGCATGCCAGGTGATGGAACTATTCAGATCATCAAATACAGGTAAATAATTTAGAAGTCTTCTGGAAGATGACACAGTCATTGTCATGGTTCTATGTTGTTTTTTTTTTGTTTGTTTGTTTTTATTTTGGGTTTCAGTATTCCGCATCAAAACATCATGTAGTATACAGGGCACTGAAGTGTTAATGCCCCAATCCCAGGTACCTATCCCTGTACATTACAGAAGTCACGGGATATGGCCCTTCCAGGTGGGGGCGCCCACTGTGGGGCTCGCTGCTTTTTAGCTTTTAGAACCAATCTCTTTTTCTCTCTGCTCTTAGAGAGCTTTGTTAGGGAGCATTATCAGTAGTTCAGGTTTCCGTGCTGGAAAACCTGACCTTGAAAGATTAGGCGTACTGCCAGCGTTCTGGGATATTTGTAAACTTTGAGCACTACTTAGTCTGGGTAGTGCCTTTTTTTTTTTTTTTTTTCCTCCAGTGAAGTAATTAACAGGATTTCATGAGAGCTACACAAGAAGACAATCAGGAGAGTGAGAGTTCCTGGGACCGATTCAAACCTGAAAAGCTTGGAACGGCTAGGAAAGCACCTTCCAGCACCAGACACTCCTGAACCATGAACCTCCTGAACCATGACACTCATGTGGAAAGTATTTAAAACAGAAATGCAGGTGATAGAAACTGCTTTTTTTGGGAAACCGCTTTTTTGTCCTAAGTTTTAGAAGTCTTTTAGCCACTTAACTTTTATTATAACATACCATGTACGATGTTCAGCAACACTCTATTACAAGATATGCTCTGCTTTCATTTTAAGTATCTACTTATTATTCTCCAACATTACGTGCAATACAACACTTTTTATAACGAAAAGGGATTACGTCACAGTTTCAATTGAAGTACTGTTACATTCCTCACTCTCTGCAAGCTTGATTAAGCAATATAAGCTATTTTAAACTGCAATGCTCCCCCAGTTTTGCTAAGCATCTTGACACATACATGCAAAAGCAATACACAAATGTGATATTTATTGCTTTACATCGTCTTAACAGAATTCAGAACTGACAACTGTGAGAACCCCACCCAACCGAAGTTGTACACCGAAGGTACACGGAAAGATAATATACATATACAAAAATACACACATACGTGTACCTGTACTTTGCAATTATATTTTGCCTTCTCTAGTATTACCTCACAGTGCTTATAACTATATATTTACTAGTATTTTTTAAAGATTATGTTGATAGATGCACTAGCCATATCATATTAACATACCAGTACATTCTTCATTACTACTATCATCACTGTTCCATAAACAAGTTGCAGAATATTTCAGCTCTTACCACGTATTTATTGTAGAGGGGATGACCTGGCCTAGGTCTAGGAGGTAAAGCAGGATCTTGTTTTTTTATGACTTGGCTTTTTGTTCTCTTGGGTCCCAATCTGAGCTTGCTTGGCTTTTTATCATAAGCAACGTAAGAAGTGGATCGGGAAAGAGCATCCTTCTGGGAGGAGGTCTTGGTTGCAGAGAGTTTTGGTGGAGGTGGCCTTCCGGGAACACCTTTAGGTGGGGGAGGTCGAGCTGGTATAATTTTTCCATCCACAGGCCTAAAAATTCAATGAGCAATCAGAGAAATGCGTACTAATAGGCTTGCCACCCCACTCTCCACCACAACCCTAGCTATCGAGCTTCTATAAGGAAACATGGTGACGATGACCAGCATAATAGAAGAGTATATAATACCTTAAGTTCTCCAAGAGTACATGAATCAAAAACCTTCAGACAAATGAGATCAGATGATCAAGTGCTTAGACAGATTTTTTTTTTTTAAACTACATATTTCCATGTCTGCTCTCCATTTTCGCCTACAAACAGCCTGCCAGTGTTCTCAAAAGCCTCCTACATGAGGCAGGATTTTCTTCAGAATCCATCTTCAAAAAGAGTTTTGACTGCAGCTGCCTTACCATACTGTCCTACCACTGGAGAGCCTTAATGAGAGCCCTAGGAAGGTCAGCTGATGAAGCAGGCCTTCAAGAATCAGCCCAACCCATTCACTAAGATGTCGTCCGAGGTGACTTTTGAGCCTCTGCTGTAACTCATGATCTATGACACTACTTGGTACAATGGCATCAGTAGCATGATTTACCATTCTTACGTGAACAAAAGAAAACACCAGCGACAATTCTCAAGGTTCTTGGTAATGCTGGAGGTACCTCACTCTCATTAGCATACTAGTTGTTTAGAAACCAAAAGAGTTTAACTGATAGTAGTAATTTAAAAGAAAATAATTACATTTAAAATCCTCTTTAGTAAGCACCAATAAAAAATGCTGCCTATACAGCGTACATGAGCAACAATTTTCCAAATCAACTTGCTAATAGTTAATTAGCTAATAAACATCACCTCTGTTATAAACAAGCATTGCATACATGATGCAAAACTTTATGTTACTAAGAAACCTGGCACTACAGCGATTCCATAAAGACAACTGTTCGATTGTTATTAGTAGGTCTTCAGTGCATTACTGTAGTTTTCTGCTACATATAGTATAATAAGAATTATTTGCTAGTATGCATTCCTCAATGGTCTGTAAACATTATCATCACCTACAACAAATGTGCATTAGTGGGACTTAGGGTGTTCTTCTAACATGTTTCATTTGTGTCAACCACCACTTCGAAAGATGTTGGTGATTTACAAGTGTACCTGGATATAGTTTTCTACTCCTATTTGAGTATGGATTTTTTCTTACAGTTCAAAAATAATTCCCTCTCCTGCTCAGTTTCCACCTCTCCTCATTCTTGGCCTCATCCTAAGCTTTTTTTCGTATTGATGAAAGAGGAAACTCCAATTTAGAGTATATTAAATCTGGAAACAGACCAACCCATGCATTTGTGAAGAGACTCAGTTAAACAAATAAACAAACAAAAAAAAAACACAGCAAGCACACGTTCCTTTAAAAAAATTCCTTTAAAAGCACACATTCCTTTATAAAAAAAAAAAAAATGAGCAGAAGACTAAAAGGGTAAAATTTTCACTGCAATTCCAGAGAACTACTAGAGAATCAGGAATGCTACTACAGTAAATAGTAGTAGCATTCATTCAATGGGGAAAAATAACATGCCATAGGGGGAAATAATGAGGTGTTTCCTTGTTGGGTACAAACTTTCCTGTTAATAAGTAACTACAGTGGACCAGGCTTCAGTACTGAAAAATTCTCCTATCCTGATACAATAGAGTAAGCTCTTTATTTCAACACGCATATTTTGGATTTTGAGCGTAGGTGGTGACACAGCCACAGTGGGCTAACTGGCCAATGCATTATTTCATTCCAGTTTGTCTCTAGCATTCAGTGGGCCTGAATCTAAGCTTGGTCCAACTGCTTTTTCCTCCTCAGCTCTTTCTTATTGATTCTTAAAAGGTATAAAAATAGGTTATAATGCATTCTGCTGCTTCACTTTTTTTTTTTTTTTTTAAAGTAAACAGTAGAGATACTGTAGATAACAACCTGTGCTTCCAGGAAGGTGCTGGCCTAGCATGTGCCCATTCCAGGGTGGCAGCATCTGCCACCTCCATTCCTTCATCACTCAAACCCAGCCACAAGTGCAAGCGCTGCTGACCAAAAGGTCAGCAACATGCAGGAGAGGATGTTCTATGTTCAGCTGAGGGTTAAAAGGTTAAAGATGCAAAAAGGAATGACTGTCAGCAGCCACTGCACATTAGCTGAGGAGTCAAACAGCTGTCCTCCTATAATCTCTCTGCTCATACCAATAGAGTACAAACAAGTATGAAATAACTAGCAACTTGGTCCTGTTTATTTATAAGTGAATAAGTTAAAAGCACCTAAGCCTACTGTGTCAGGTTCAGAGTCAGTAATTTCTATGCTGAGGCTACCTACACAAACTAATTCAGAAACATCTCTGTTAAGTGAATCAGTGAAGAATTGCACTTACCTTGGGGGTAATGCAGGTTCTAGTTGAGATGCTCCAGCCTGTTCCGAATTACTCAGATCCTACAAAAATTAAAATGACCAAGTCATTTCATTAAGCCTAGGAAATAAAACAAATCCTCTTTAAATGATGCATTTCTTATTTTAAATTACAATCAGGAAAAAAAAAAAGTGTTTTTGGAGTTTGAGGAAAAAAGTAATAAATAACGTGATGTGTTCTAAACTATTATTGTTGTACGTAGAGACAGTAAATTGACTACCTGAATCACAGCTAAAATTGTACAGTAGGTGTAACCCAGCCCTTCCTTGCCTACAACCTGGGACTCAGAGTGTAAGAGCCAAATTCCGGAGAGTCATACAAATGTGCAATTTCAGTGCCTCTAAGATCCCAACTTGCTTGCAGTTACACTACGAGCTTTAAGTTTGACAGATGAAAGGACAGGCTGACACTAGGCACAGGCTTCAAGCAATAAATACAACCTTGGTGTACCTCACGTTGGAGAAAGTCTCTTGCCAGTAACGTTAGTTCTTATTCAGAAAGGTACCTAAAGATGCTTCCTAGAGACCTAACAAACAAATCCTGATTAATCTTGCTTTGGCAGATCATTTATTTAGTGCTTCCAGATGCCCATCCCCACCTTGCCAGAGACTACTACCCACAGCAGTCAGCAGAGAGGAGCACATGACATAGCTGAAGGGTTTGGACCACAGTAATGCATTAACAAATTACCATCCTCCTGCCTCCTGCTGTTCATTTTTACCCAGTGCCAGAGAATAGTGCCAACTAAGCTGACCAAGCACAGATGTTTGCAACAGAATGGTAAATCCGAGTGCTGAATTTGGGTTCAAAAGTAACCTTTTTCAATCAGTAACTTTAAAAAGGGCTGAACAACCGTATTTATCTAGATGTGGAGGCAGGCTTGAAACTAGTAAACAACAACTGTGATTTTCTCGACCTGGAAAATATCTAGATTTATTTTGTGACAAAACTTAGGCTCTTGACTACATCCCCAGATGAATGCTCCTGAGCAAATGCTTCTGTTTAAAAGGAAACCTACTGCTTTCAGATGGGAGTGGTATCCTAACAGCAAAATGTTTTCCTGCCTGAAAAGGAGCAAACCTGTACCAACCGCTGCTTACGGTCAATTCTTTCTATTTGTTCTACTGTAATCAGTTTCACAGATAAACACTGCTAGATTTGAAAAACCAGTATTTGTAATACTTCATTATGAATTTATTCTCAATGCCTACCACTTGGCATTCCAAATAGCTTGAAATGAGTATAATCTATTTGGAACTTAAGTTAAAAAGAAGGAACCTATTCCAAAATGATTGTATGAGGTGGAACTTCCACGTGTCTGTCATAATCATCTGGATGACACTGCAAACATTTTGGGGTTGTATTGTGCAAAATGTTATTTAATGTCATTGTATTGGGAATTATTTTTTCAGCATTGTCCAGAAAAGATAGGAACTGTATGAATAGCCTCTTTAGCTATGATGTACAAAAATCTCTCTATCTACTAGCAAAAGTAGCTAAAAATACATTTGCTGGCAGCCATCCACTTATTCTGAGCTTTTGATTTCTCTCTTTACTGCCTGTGGTTTCCACAAGATTCACCAACATTTTTGCTATCATCACTCTCAACATTTGGAAATTTTGTCAATTTCTACTCGAATTCTCTTTAGTACATCTGCATCAAAAGGCATACAGGATACACAGCTATGGTGTACACCATTGTTATGTGCTCAGGAGCAAGGAGCAGAGCCTTACTTTCCAAAAACTGATGGTTCTACTCAAGTTCTGTTAAGGACCAGAATAAAACAACTGGAAGAAAACTGTAGAAATCAAGCTTCGCTCCCCAACAGAACAGTTTATCCTGCCTGTAAATTACACTGGCCACATAAGAAGTGCTATGTGTACGAAATGAAAAAAAACAAACAACACAGATGTATTTCTGAAGGACTTCGGCAATATTTGACCATACAAACATTGCTAGATTTTGAACCACTCTACAGCGCTTTCAAAACTCAACTGCAGCATATCCTGATTCCAGATGCAAAGAAAATTGAAGATAAATATAATTGAAGTTCACTAAAACCAGCCAAGTGTTTTCCAGAACTGGCAGCAGTCTAAATTACCTTATTAAATCAGAGAGCACAGTCAAAAGAATAAAGTCTTAGATTTTTGATTAGTCCCTTTCATCCTTTGGTTCCTCAAATAACTTACTTTAAAAAGGGCCAAGAGTGACAAGAGATCTGTTACCCAAAGTAGGGAAAGCTGTTATACAACAAAACAGTATTAACTTACCATGTTTTTTACTAGGTCACCACTGTTGGGTTTGCCCACTGCGATGTCAGCGGTGTTGCCAATAGGCTTTTCAGCAGGAAGTGGAGGAGGGCTATGTGGGATTTCATCTAAAGCTGTAAAAACAGAGCTCTGAATGAAAGTCTAATCAGTAGCTTGTTTACAAAGAAAGTCTAATTAATAGATTCTTCACACAGACCAACACTAGGTAAGAGAATCCACCTTGGTGTGGGGCATCTTGTTACAAACACGACTTCCTTCCTCAAAGCCAGAGCGGCCAATGCACAGGAAAACTCAAAGACTAGTCAACAGAAAAGGGATGTGAAGGGAACACTGCAACTCTGATGTTGAATGTAGGAGTCACTCCCATTCCACATAATGAATCTCCACTGGTGTCTCAGGACACCAGCAAGTTATTCTAGGGTTTCAGCTGCAGTACTTGTTGATATAATATTAGACGACTAGCAGAATTTCTACCCCTGGGAATGTCAGACTCATTCCTGTATACTCTGAAACACCATCACCATCTCTCAGCCACATTTCTTAACTAGCTCACTTTTTCCAGCTGTCAGCTCCTGGAATATCCTTCAGGCTGGAAAACAGCTGAGGGTTATTTCAAGTAACCCTGAAAGATCAGAAGACTTGGATGGAAGAATCTACAGAAAGGTAAAGGCAAGAAAAAAAATCCTGCCTGCTAGAAAATTCAAGAGGATAAAACAGAAGGGGAGTTGGGAATTACCCAGCAGTCTTTAGGGAGCTAAAGAAGTTTAGAACATGGAAGTACAGCTCTTACTACAGAAGAATGACGATCTCAGTTTCAATTAAAAAAAAACAAAAACAAAAACAAAAAAAAACCTGTTAATTATGAGATTTGTTCTAAATGTCCCTGTCGTTGAAGTCTGGGAAGCCCTTTAATCAGTTTTGTAAGCATATTCACCAATCATTTTGTCCTCATATACTGAAATTTTGCAGTTAAAATCATCTCCTGATAAAGATTTTTCAGTCAGTTCAGGAGAAAAACTTACATTTTCCAGGTTTAGCTGGGATTCGGATAACAGTGGGTTTCCGTGCTACAGCTGGTTGAGCCGCCTGCTCCTTTGCCGGTTCAATTTTGGGAAGGAACTGGAATGGATCTATAAGGGAAAATATATATATTATATTATATATATTATATTATATTATATATATATTATATATATTATATATATATATTATATATATATTATATATATATTTAAGGTTTATTTGCTGAACATAAATCTCACCAGCTACTGCATTAGGTACTAAAGACATCAATATTTCACATCCAAGAAAGTAAGAAAAAATAAATCTGGTTCCAGGGACAAACACAGTGCAGATAGGAATAGAGTAGAGCTCTTTGTAAATAACATCTTTCTGATACTTCTGCTTCCATAGTTGAATTAACACGAACACGTTCCAGATGCCTTCTAGGATTATACAAGTCACTGAACCAGAGCAACCGCACTGCTTGATAACAGGGACCTGCAATCAGGACGGATTCAGGGAAATTATTTTCAGAGTAGTTGCTTGAATATGCTGCAAACACAACCAGCAGAAAGTTTTAATCAATAAAATCTTGCCAAAGCTTAACAGCCAGTTCTACAGCAGAAAAAAATGCCTACAGAAACAAACAAAAACAGAAACATTAAACATTACTAATTACAATATCTCTTTGCTGTAGGATACCTAATTCCCTTGAAGATTCTGCTTCATTTTTGCTGATTATAAACCTCAAGTCATGGGGAAGACTGCTTCAGGCCAAGGACACCGAGTTGTCCCTGAGCTCTGTCTGTCCCCATGTGTATCACTCATTTCTCTTCTAGACTATCCAGTCATTCCATTGGTAAAATGGGAGCAATGTTTTCTATTATTAATAAACTTTATCACTGGTCTCATGTTAATAAGCATGAGAACATATGAGCATGTAGAAGGCAGCTGTAAAAATACCTATACATAAATAAAATTCAAATCAAGAGGTTCTTTCTGAAGTACACCTTCATGTCCAAAAGCAGTATTTCGTTTCTATGTTTTTAACAGACATTAACTTCTCTCTGACGTTACTAAAAATTGAAGTAAAACAGCGATGCATTATAAACATGTAGGGCAGAAACTGGAGAAGTATTCTGGCCAGTAAATTCTCCACCGCATGTATTCACAGCTCCAACAGAGGAGTTTGATCTCCTGTGGTGGCCTTTTTAGATGTACAGCTCAATGAGATGTTATTTATAGAGCGTCAGAGTCTCAGAGAAGAAGCACGCTGGGCATCTCTTTAAATTCTACAGGGCTTTTTAGCAAAAAATTTGCCCCTTCCCAAATCTACTGCACACTTTGAGACAAAGTTGGAAATTCTGCATTTGATAAAATCCTATGAAACACTTAGGAAAAAACAGAATCATTAAGTGAAGTCATGATTTCTCATAGATAATTTTGAGAAGCGTAACGCAGTGCAGCTCATCAATACATCTGAAATCTGTGTTTGCGAATGCACATCGGACTTGAAAATATCCAGAAGTACCGTATTTACTCAGGAACAAATCTTTCAGCACTGCAACCAAAAACAAAAATCTCGGTATTTTCAGAGAGGAGAAGTAGTCCAAGAACACTAAGCTCTTAATTTTATTATTTTAAAACTAACAACACCCAGAATAATTTCAGACAGAGCAACATGTAATAACAAGCTGCTGAATTACAGCATGCCAAACTGCTCTCCTGCAAACAACAAATTTGAGGTCCTCATATGTTGCCAGCAGCCCCTCTGCTCCCCCATCCCAGGGTTCATCTCCTGCTAGCCCCGAGCTCCTTTGCAGGAGCACCTCAGATTAGCACTGGTCAGCAGAAGGTTTAAGTTCCTTCCGTGAAAGCTGCACCAGACAAGAGTTTCTTCTGGAGGAGTGGAAAACACAGATCACAGCAGGGCTGCAAACAGTCTGGCAATAAGGTAGTTATAAGAAATGTGAAAATCCCACTCTTAGAGCAAGGCTGCAGTTTTGATTTCCTTTCCTTTCTTTACACCTAGGTCTGCAAGCTACACTGCTACAATTTGAATTGCGTTGAAAAAGGATTTGCCTAATTTTAACACTTAGAATGGTGTTCAGAATGATTTTGGTGCAGGTGAAAAAATTGAAATTTGAGCCAGGCTTCCCTCCCCTGTCTGCCAGCTATGTGGTAACCATACCCTACCGGCAAGGAGCCCCCTGTAGAGGCATACCCACAGAAGCTTGAGGCACAGCATACTCACAATCAGACAGGTTTGGACAAAGCAGGCAATAGGGATCTCTCTCAGTCACCTGCTGCAGAGATGAAGGAAACTCTGAACTTGAACTGAGATGTGATTACTTTCCAAAGCCTCATTCTTATAAAAATATAGGCAAAGTAAGGCCAAACAGGAATACTCCGATAAGCCAAAATTCTTATCAATCAGATGATTGCAAGTTGTACAGAATAATTGTACAGAATTACTGTTTGTTAACTGCTGATTGTTTCTATGCGTAGAGATGGTTTTCTTGACCATCCAGCAGTTGTCTGAGGCCTCTCAATCAACAGATTTGAGAGATGTCATTTTTAAGCCTCCGTTTTCTCAACCAAGTCTGAGAAAATCCTTTTACAAACCTTAGTTTTCCACTCATTATCTTCTGTTCAGATACACTGTTGTCACCTCATAATTAGTAGGAAACTCATTAACTTGTTTGTGTCATTCCATTCCCCAGTGCTGGGTCTGCAGCAGAAATTGGTTGAGTAAATGACTGTGCAGCTTTGTGCAATGGGACTGACAGCATATCAAATTTTTATGTTGTTTAACAACTATTGGGCATCATTTGAGCATAATTCATGGGAGTGTGAAAACAGAATTGTTAATACACTCATTTAAACCTCTTCAGCTCAAGGAAATTAATCTGCAAGGCATTTTTCATAAAATATCAGACTTCTATCGATCTTTATTAAAATTTTACAATGATGCTTAAAGCCTGTGTTTTCATTAGTCTCACTCTTCTAGAGCTTTTGTTTTAAAGTATTAATTGGTAACATACGTTTCTGTGCTTCTCTGTAGGAAAGACAAATAAAAGCCATGTATCCTAACACACCATATATCACCTCTTTCTTTTACTAGTTTAGGAGAGAGAACTTTTTTCCTTATTTCCATTTATCTTTCTCATTTGAAGTTGGAAATGTTACAGAAGAAAAGGGAGCTTCAGAAAGTTATCCAACTTTTATTTTTTTCTTTTGATACCAAGGATTTGGTGACCTTTCTGAAGCACTCAATGAATATTGTTCTGTCCAAACCACACACCAACAAAGCAAGCAAACAGTAATAACAGAAAGTTTTACCTTGAGGATTATCTTTCCTGCAAGAAAAGGAAAGGTGATCCAGTTCCCAAACAGAATTATCAAACTTCTCACACATAAGCAAGATTTTAAAAAGAGTTGTACTAAGTCTTAGGGACAGGAAGATGTTATGTGGCAACATTTATCAATACTCAGAGGAGCAGAAATACAGTGAACTACTTGCACAGGTATTAGGCATTGCTCTCTGTTCACTGCTGATATCTGATGGACTGAAACAAAAAGCAAGGTAATTCAAGGCCATGAACAAACCTGATCTAAAGAATGAATGATGTTTACAGGATACACATGGGGCATGCAGAAGGAGCTATCAACACAATCAAAATGCACAAAGTCACAGAATTATATTAAGTTTAACATTGTCTAGAATGTACCAGTGAAATTGCTAAGAAATGCAAATGAAGATCCAATGTTAAGTGTGCTTGTCAAAAACAAAATGTGCTCAATTGAGCAAAGATAAATACCTCATCCATGGTGTTAGAAACCTGGAAAAGAGATAAATACCAAAACTGCTACTAGAATAGCAAAATGTTTTGGGCTACTATAACATGCAATGGTAAGCGTTTACCAGATGTACAACTACAGCATTATGTAGCTCACAGAGATGGCTATAAATGGACCTTTACCAAACTTTGATTATAATCCAGTTTTTGGCATTTCTCTCTCAAACTGTGGGGATCCCCACACTTACTTTCTATGTGTACCTAAAAGCACAATAGCTTAATATGGACAAGCTAGCAGTGAGCTACTACTAGAGGTGACTTTAATTACAGACTTTGAAACTAAACGATGACTAAGACCAACATAAACTGTGATGTAAGAACTCGGAGACTTTTCCCACATCATGATTCTTCTTTATCGGTCAGGAAATAATCTGGTAGTTCAAGTTGTAAGAGCCTTCAGGAAGCTCTAATTCAACCTCTGGTCCAGAAGTGGTCAGCTACAATGTCATGTTGCTGAAACTGGCTGCATAATCTGGCCTAACTTCATGACTGGTGCCAGATGCTATTTGGACATACAGTGTGAGACAAAACCCAAGACAGTTCCCAGAGAGCAAGAAACACATTCTCATCCATTCTTGCTGAGTCAAGGAAGATTTGGTTACTTCAAGTAACCAAAAGAGTCATTGAAAGGTACACAGCAGAATACTAAGAAAAGTTGCATTATTTTGAAGATAGCTCTGGAGCAATCAGCAGTTACAAATATTTTAATTCTTTTTCTCCCTTCCTTCCTGAGGAAGCAATTAAAAACAAGCAGCTGGGCAATAAATTCACAGAAGACAAAGTTACTCAAGCAGCAGTTTTTCTGAATGGGCCACAGTGTCACACAGATGCTACCATTCATGCCGCAAGAAGCAACAATATATATAAATAGACAGTAATCACTGGTTTGGTCATTTTTTCTGTCCATACAAGCAGAAGGAAACTTTTATACTACGATGAAGTAAACAACTAATTCAAAGAATTGATAAATGTATCAGCTGCATTATTGTTATAACTGAAATACGTAAATATGATGAAGATGAAAGAGAAAGCTGCCTTCCGCAGGTAAGGTAAGAATATCCCCAAACTACCTTTCAAAACACTTGGTTTAAATTAAGTGCTGGTCTGTCATGAACATAATCAGAACCGTATGACATCTCAGAAAAAGCAAAAGAGAAGAACTCTACGCACACAGGAAAGAACTCAAATATTTTAGCAAGATCACCTCCAGGTTTTAATTTGAAGATGTGCTTGCACTGTTACCTTATTTTCTGCCAGGGCATTTGAAAGCACGCACACCACATGCTTTAACACAGCAACTGAAACAAGCGAAAGTGACAGTCTTGAACTTACCAAAGACACAGAACTTCTACTTAATTCAACTTGCACTAAAATTTCATTTCTGAGCCTTCGTAAAAAAACTGGACTACTGAGAAAAGATTCCAACTGACTGTTTAGTGAAACTTTTAACCACAAGGCACTGCACAAATCCCAGTTACTAGGTAGAAGAGATTTGTGAAAGTACTATTTATGATCCCAAATATCACAACTGTCATCAAAGCATTAACACTTCAAGATTTACAGTCCCAAGTAGATGCTTTCACATTCTAAGGGACTGACAGGAACAGGAGTAATTTCATTAGGATACAAAATGCCTGTGAACATTCTCTCTAGCCTCTGTGTCAAAAACAAAGCAGGTACTTAGAACTGGCATCAGTTTTGGCTGCTGCTGAGAAAAACCATTTTGGGGATTTGTCATTCCTAACTTCTTCTCCCTGGTGTTTCTCTTGGGCCAGCAATGAAGACAACAGGTGGGTGCAAGGTTCTGCCATGGTTTACCTCAGAATCACAGAGCTTTTGAGCCTCCAGTGCTCCAATAGACCATAATGACGCTGAAGGCTTTGAAAGTAAACTTGATACCCTGTTTCTCAGTTTGCAGAAGAATCATCTGTTTTGCCTGTGTTACACTTTTCCATCCAGTTGCTCACCTCAGCTTTTGCACCTTTCTCATCATCAACTGAACGCTTTACCTTCTTACTTTTGCATCAGATGTTAGCAGAAACAGTAATCTATCTGTTCCCTTCTATTTACATTAGTTTAAGTGCCAGATGCATTTGTGCTTTATCAGAAAAAAAAAAAAAAAAAAAAACAAAAAAGCTCGTGAATGTTACCAACTGTTTGTTTTTTGACAAAAAAAAAAAAAAAAAAATCAGCTGGTGCTTAGTTACAAACACCACCTAGAAGCCTTCCTCCCTCTCTGTGGTTACCATAACAACAAGGAGAGTGCTGTCATTATGTTAAGTAATGACAATGACAAATATGTAAGAAACGCAAAGGTCTGGGGAATTGGGAGCTAGATTACAGCTTTTCTTCCTGCCTTTACAAAACATTTTTCTGTGGATTCATCTTGTAAATCCAAAGCTGTTCCTATGGGAACAGGAGAAATAGATGGTGTTAGTGCTCTGTGTTGCCTCATTTTTCAGAAAGCCAGTGCTGTTCTTGTAGATGCTTTGTCAAGACCTAGCATGGCATTAATAATCAAGGGTATAGCATATGATCTTCAGCTCACACATGCCTGCAAGAAGTCTGGACTGAATTCTAATTTTTCTGTGTAATGAAACAATAGTGCTATCAGGCCTTCTCTTTAGTAGATATGAAGGGGTTGCAGCAAAGGCATCACTTGATTAAATAAATAATATCATGGACATTTGACTTGGGAAATCAACAAAACATGATGTGAATAATTCTTCACTTAACTATGAGAATACAAAGTATTTTCTTCTTCATTAAATAAAGAATAACATCTCAGGTGCCAGAAAGGTGAAGACTGCCATTCATTCTACTTAATCACAAAAGCTGCCGTGTTTGTTTAAAAATTAGGCGATATTCCTTGGGATCATTGTGTGATATAACAGAATAATTATCATTAATTATTTTTTTCAGATTTGAAGATAAACAGTCATATGGATCACATAGCCAAAGCATCATTTTCATTTTTACACACTTAAAAACTGTAAGTATTTTCTTTTCTCATACTTAGAACAATTCCATTTGCCCTTCAATTGTTGAACCTTTTCAATAAAAGCCTGAAAGGTTAAATTCTCTCAGGTGCATGGAAACCAATTGTAATTCCTTGTGCTTTTAACTCCTAAAACCACCGCATGCACAGTGGCTGTCACAATAGCGGTCTCCAAAAATTAGGACCATAACTCTGTTTCCATTTAGACACTGTCACTCATGCACCTCAAAATGCTTCTTCACTTCCTCAGTACTCCTTCCAGGTCTGCTGCAGCCTCTGCAGTGATGCTGGTTCCCTTTCAACCAAGGAAAGGGCAGACATAGATCCACGTTAAGCTAATTAGCTGTCTAAAGGACATTCTGTTGCCTTACTTCAGTGCTTTTATAAGCTGCTTCAAAATTTTTATTGACCTGTACAGTTTAAAGGCATAAGGGACTTCCTATTTCTGCACTGGGCTTTTTATGCCATTGTAGAATGGAAGTGATAAATTGGAGCTTCATCTAACAATATAATCCACAACTGTAAAGAAATCCCACTTACTAACAACCATTAATACTGATATATCATGAAAACTACACAATACTTACACATCTCTTTTCAAAGAGCTGCGATGTTTAATGATAAATGAGGTAAAAAAAAAAAAAAAAAAAAGGCTTAAATTCAGAGTTAGTCCTTTAAATATGCCTTTTGTATGACATACCATCTGTTTCAAAGCATAACATTTCCTGGATTGCAATGGGGCTGATTAGCTAAAGCAGGACATACTTGAGTACTAAGAGGAAAAAGCTCATTGCTGTAAAACTTAGTGACAGCACAGCACAGAACCTACTTGTGTCTTAAACTACCTATATCAGAAGAAAAAAAAAAGCCTCAGTTGGCCTCTTCTGCTATAGAGTTAAGCAAAGTTTATGAGAGGTATACAGCTGCAGTGATTAATCCATCTGCATGAATTTTTCACTTTTTAGAAAAATCTGAAGTTGCATAACTCGCATATAGCCATATATAGCACCAACACATGAAAGTGAAACTAAGTAGCCACTGCTCAGAGTATTCCAAAGTATGTCTGATCGCTGTTCTCTCTAAGTAATAAACATTGCTGCTTCCTTACATGACCTAGTGGAATAAATATCTACATGTTTACAGTGCTCAGGAGGATTCTATTGCAGAATTGCAGGCACTCAAATAAATTAGTTAGACTGGATGGCTAGAGATAAGATGTCCCAAGTTCCTGAGAGAGTATTCTGATACATTCTGGAGGCAACATCTGGCATACAGCATCAAGTCTTTTATCATTATTTTTGTTATTGCGTAATAAATCCAGCAGGAAGCCTCTGAGATTTATGCAGGCTAGAAACCTCCCGAGTCTCAAAACCCAAATAATTTCATAGTGATCTTGACACAATAGAAAACAAAGAATTTCATACATACATAAACTCTGTCAAGACAGGAAGAATAGACAGACATAATTCACACAGCATCATGCAACCTGCAAACAGAAACCCAAGTGACAGTTTTATAAAACAGCATCTTACCTGCTGCTGCTTCACAACTGATGCTGTCTTTAACTGCACAAGATGGACTTAGAGGCAAAACATCATCATCAAAACTGATCAGATCTCCTCCCAGATCTAGCTTACTTTGCGAAGCAGGTGCTGAGGAGTTCTCTGTGGGTGACAATTCCCCCACAGACTTGAAAACCTTCTCCTGGGCAGATACAGAAGTCCGTGGTGGAGCAGAGATAGGTTTTAGAGGGACCAAAGAAAGGGCAGGATTTTCTGCAGAATGTGACTTCTTAGGAATAAGAGGCCTTGGAGCGGGAACAGGAAACTTTCTTTGTTCATGGCTGTTCTCTGCAACTGAGCCACTCTTTGCATCAAGAAAATCGCTACTGCTACTTTTTTCAAGGCCAGGTTTTGGTTTCTTTGGCAGTTCAGGTTTGGTTACAACACTACTCCCAACTGCTTCAGGTTGAAGCTGCAATTCTCTGGAAGAAGGTATTGGTTTGCTTTCTGTCCATGCATCCCACTCTCCCGAAACTCTGTCTACCCCTGGCTTTGGAGCAACTACTGGCTTCTTTGCAGGTACAGGTCTTGTGGTGAATGTACGAGGGGCAATTTCTGGTTTCTTTAATAATCCTGAGGTATCATTAGCTCCTTGGGTTTCAAAAACTTTGATCCTTGAAACAATACTACTTTGGCTCTTGCCTGTACTCATGCTGTCCACTGTCAAGTGATTGTCTAGTAAGCTATCATCTAAGACAGACGACTGCTGAACTGAAAGTTGCAGCCTCTTCGTGTCAGACTGGTTCACTTCTTCTCCATTGTCTCCTATCTGACTTTGAGTATTTTTGACTACAGGTCTGAGATTGCTTCTTGATCTTGGCTTTGGCACAGGACATATCACAGCATTGGGATTTTCTTGGTGCCTCTGATCTTCAGAATTTTCATTAACTAATAAGGAAGTCTCATTTTCTGAAGATCTGTTCAAGAGAGGTGCAGAAGGCCTAGGAGGTTTCAGGAGACCTGGCCCTACTAACAGAAAAGAAAAGGTTTCAGTTACCTATTAGAGAACACGGTATTTATATTACTTTATCGACAATAAGAATGTGAAACAATAGTTTTAGCTTAGGAGTGTGTTCAAGAGCTCCTTGTGAAACTGCAGTTCTCTTTCTAAAAAGAGAAATAGAAAAAATATGTAAAATTCAGGAAGAAACTGAAGATTGCTGAAATGCATGGTATCTACATGTTATGAATTCAGAATTACTTGTTAGCTCACAAGCAGTAAGAGCATAGAAGTAACATCTTGGCCAAGGAACAGTACAGTAATTCCCTCAGCAGAGGGAGTTACACACATTCAGTCAGTTACTTTCTGGTTTTAATGCAGCACTGCTGTTATTCTGACTGGACATGGGAGCTCTACTGGCAGAAAACTAACAGCCAATATGGCTGAACTGAGCAAAACAGTGAATATTTTTATTGCTAAGTCAAAGACACACGATTTTACTCATCTTCATTACCGAGAAAGTTTTAAATGTAGTCTGTGAGTGCAGTGATTCTTCAGAAAAAAACAGTTTTGCAGCAATTTACAGTATCAACCATTCACAGAAATGTAACTGTCATTCATGGTAACAGTTACACAGATGACAGAATCTTAGAATCATTAACACTGAAAAACACATCTAAAATCATCTAAGCTAACCATCAGTTCTACTGTATGCCAATGATACCATGTTCCTCAGTGCCACACCTACGTTTCCCAAACTCCTCAAAAGATGGCGACTCCACCACTTCCCTGGGCAGCCCATTCCAATGCATCACAACCCTTGCGGAGAATAATTTTTTCCTAGCATCCAAATCAAACCTTTCCTAGCACAGCTTGAGATGAGTAATAAAGAACATCTTCAGGAAACCAGCTAGGATTTCCATCAATGGGAAGTCAAAAAATCTCACCTGGATAGTTGGTAGATTCCCCGTGTGTAGGCACACTGCTCTTTTCATTACTTCCTGGCAAACAGCTGATTAATTCCTGTGGAAAGTCAGTTTGTGTTGCAGAAGAAGTGGTATGCCTAGGAGCAGCAGCATTATTGTTATTTGTTGTATTCACTTGCACTTGATTTATTTCCTTTATCACCTGCTCATAAGATGGAGGAAGCTACAAGAGAAAGACAGAAACATTAATGCATGTCTAAATTTTATCTTTTATTTTAAACTGTGTATTTATTCAAAAACACTAAATTAACATGCAGAGGAAAAGAACACTGTCATAGTTTTTTATTCAATGTCATGACAACGTAAGCAAGTAAAATTCTTAGCGATAGAATGGTTTCTCTATTTTTTTTATTTTTTTTTTTTTTAACCTTCATATACCTAACACAGTTCATGTAAATCCATGCTCACCTCAGCTGGAATAAGCTCATTTGTCCTCCACTGAGCATGAGGTGAAGCAGAAGAGAATCCTAATCCTTGAGGAGCAACAGGACTTGCACCTGGAAACCAGGAGGATGGCCGCAGGGGTTCAGCAGCAACTATTGTAATTTCAGGACGCCTCAAGGTAAAGCAAAAGGGAATAATTACCTAAAACATCTCAAAATAGTTACTTTAAATATAAAAGATCAGTATTTCCTCAGCATCAAAAATCAAAACAGCTCAGGTCTTATTTATTTAACCAAAGTATCTTTCCATGACTGCAAAGCAAATTACCCGACCTTTCTAATAAGCACTTAGGCTTCCATTCAGAACGCCTAATTAAATGCCTAAGCCAAAAAGTAGGTTTATTGGCTTCAGTGAAATAATTTACATGCTAAAAAAGCATCCAAATACAAATGTAACTCAATTAGACGGAAGAAGACTTAGTCTTCAAAGGATAATGAGAACTAATCATGCATTTGCCCTTAGTCTGCTGCAATGTGAAAACAGTGGGATAGTTAAAATGGCTTCTGGCTGACTACTTATAAGCTTGTTTACCCTCAAGACTTCTGGGGAAACCCCCCACAGTACTAAAGGAAGGGCAAAGCATGCCTCACAAGCCCTCTGGAACAGGGCTTCTTTGCTTACAGCATCTAGTATAACAGGGACCCAGAAGTACTTCCAATGTTTCATTGCTGTAACAACTGCTTTAGAGGATAAACTGCAGTGGCAGCATGGTGTTTTCCAAACACAGCCCCCAACCACTGCTGATTAATCTAGAGCCCTGCACTGAATTCATTTTGGAAAGTGAGCTTTGTGAATAGATGAAGCATCCGCTACAGAAGCTTCTGTGTGCTAACAGAAAAACATCAGAAACCTAAACACTAAAACATAACTAAAATACACAGGGAAGAATGCAGTCCCTTCAAACCTGAAGTAATAGCAGATTTGATAGAAAGGCTATTCAGGTTAGTGATCTCCTCTCTCAAACCTTTGGAGAAACCAGAACGTGTGACAGTGTGCCTATTTTCATTGTGATCTCATAAGTAGATGTCAGGAAATAAAAGCAGTTCCATACAGGTTTGCTGTCTGGTTGCATTAGCTTTTTTTTGAAGACACATGCAATGCTTAAGCAGAAACAGCAACTCTTAGTCCATCCTCTGTTTAAGCATCACAGCATTTTAGTTTAAATTGAAATTAAACATATGAAAGATAACGAGAAACAAAACAAAAACGAACAAACAAACGACCCCCACCAAAACAACTAGAGAAACGCACACAAAGTAATGCTGTGATACAATCTAACAAGTTGTAAAGTAACATCCAATTGCAATATACGTAAGTGCATCATACCTTCTATCCCTCTGCTGTTCACTGTGGCTAGAAGTTCGAGAAGCTATTGAAGTAAAAGAAACAAAAGTTTGGAGAAAGTTAAAACACACCATCACAGCACATAGTTGAGGACAAGAGCATAGCCCCTACCGTCCACCATAAAGGAAACAGAGAGCATACATAGCATGCGATCATAAATCCCAGACTCCAGGAGACACCAAGGATTTTTTTTTTTAATTATTAGCATAAAAAACAAGGGAAAACTTTTTTAAAGGTTTAGGGTGCACATTCAAATCACTTTAAGTCATTCTATGTCCAAGATACCATCAAAAGAGACAGTCCTGCCCATTTCCTTCCTTCTCAAAACATTCCTGTCTTCTGTATTGTAGTGACTCCAGAGCTCTAACTTTTCTTTGAAGTGTTAATTAAGTCTGATTTTGCTTTTGATGGCTCATTTCTAAACTTTCTAAAGATGTCTTTCCTTCTTCTCTAGAAGGAAAAACTCCTAATGCAAAAAACTTAAGATATTTCACCATACTTTAAGTTAAAAAATAAAAAAGCAATGTTCCCAATTAGAAATCTCTTAAAAGTTTAATCACTTGTGTATTAAAAATTTGCAACACTTCAAAAATCATTATGTTTTAAAGTTGTCCTATTATTTTTTTTTTTTGCCATATTTTCATTCAAATAATCTTCCCAATGGCCACATCATGTTCTCACTTGGATGTCTTCAATGAAAAAAAGGAGATTATTTGAGGGACAAATTTTTGCATAGCAAAGATAATTTAGGAAGTGGTAGAATCTTATTGCGTGAAAGATGATGATTGTGCTGTTTCTGTGCCATCACAGAAGCATAGCTGAAATCTGAAATCAGTAAAGCATACTTGATTTGAGCATTGCACAGTGTTGTGTCACACATACCGCTTCCACGGGGCATTTTTGATGTGCACTATTCATGAGTGCTAGAGGAAAAAAAAGAAGGGGTTACAGAAAGGGAAGAGGAGGTGAAAGAGAACAAACCAAGGCTCCAGAACCAGAAAATATGATTAAATGGGTTAGTAACACAAGAATACGTGCCACAGATTTAAAAAGACGACTTTTTATGTCTATTTACAGTATAGCATCTTTAAAAAAAAAAACACTAAAAAACAGACTGGATCTCTACTTCCATGCTGATTTTAACAATGGGTGTTCTGAGGTCTCTCTGCCATAATTAACCATAAGGAACACAACTGGGTATGGAAAAATTCACTGTATTGCTCAACAAAGTGCCATGAAGGGAAGGAAAACACAATTTCTTTGAATGCTTTATTTATCTTGAAAACATGGTTGGTGTCTGTGCTGTTTTCTTTCTAAAATGGTTACATTGAGGAGTTGATCCAGATGCCAAGAAAATGGGATCCCTCATTTCACAGTCCCACCTAACAAAGAGGTATGATCAGGCATACTGGCCCAAGCAAGAAGCACACCTCAAAGTTTCAGCAGTAACAGCCCATCTTCTAACCCAGTCCTGTAAAAATAGTTTGCCTAACGCAAATGGAAATCCTCTACACAGACGAAATACCACCTCCACTTCCTTCTTTATAGATCTTAGTGCAGCAATCACATTATTCACACGTTCAAGGAAACAAACAACCAAACAAAAATATGAAAGAAAAACCCAAAACAATCAAACAAACCTCTTCCAAGTTTACTCTTGCAACGAGAATCTAAGTGTTAATTTCGTAAATGTATTCAATACAACTGCTTTGGGTACATCCAAATTGAAATGGTAATGAGAAATTAAAACTAATTACTGAGGGATGCAAAGCTAAGCCAATAAACCTGCCAATTTCCTCAGTTCTTTTTTTATTCCTAGATAAATAGTAGATACTATGTTTTCCCACGAAACTATAAATGTACTTCTATTTATTGAAGTTATTACAACACATAAGAAAAATCTAAAACAGTTCTTTCCTAAACAGAAGCTACAAAACTACAGCAAAACATAGACAACTACATAATCCATCCAGCTCCAAATATAAAATAAACAAGTTCACTTAAAAGCAACACACTAAAAATATTCACATAAAAATAACATCATCAGCAGAAGCAAACATTTTATCTTCTTTCATATGTGTCCATTCTTTGTTTGAAACAAAATATCCCAGGCACTTCTGGAGTCAAGCTCCTTTCATCAATATAAATAGCTAATAAAAACATTTATTTTTTAAGGACTCGGACAAAATTCTTTCCTCCTTCCATCACTTCTTTCCCTCTTTTTGCTTTCCTGTTTTTGTTACAACCACACTTTCAGAGCATCTTTTGTTTTGGAAACTCTGAAATTCATATTAGAGCAGAGGCGCAAACCATTGCATCCTCTGCTTTCGAGTGTTCCTTGGAGTTCCACAAATGCTGAAGAAAAATATAAACTTTCTAAATAATTCTTGTCTGTGGACAGGCACAGCTTTTATTCCTTCACTGTCAAAAGTGAATTGAAATTAAAAAGTGTATGAGAGAAGACATGAATTTTTAAAGCATAGCACATACTTCATTTAAAAACAACAAAAAAAAAAACACAACCATTTTTCTGGCTGTGTGGTCCTTTCACACCCTATTTTTCGCTCCCTTTGTGAATTGGTTTGAAAAAGCAGGCTATTAATTTTTCTCCAGGTTTCAACTTATAACATCTTTAAGCTTAAAAAAGAAAAAAACATTTTCATCATCAGGAAAGTCAATAAAAAAGTATTTCAGTGCTGATTTTCAACAAATCCCTCCACTCTCACAATAAGAGATGATGTGGATGATAAGAGTCAATATATCCACATCACACATTTAGTGGTTTCTAAATAAAAGGTAACAGAAATGGTTAAAGAAGGGTAGGAAAGGAAAAATCCAGTTTGCAAACCTTTCCTTCCACCTTTCCTTCTTATAATTCTACTGGTCTTGAGAGAAAGAACATCAAACCAACCCATAACACTGCCACTAGAAATACAAGTATGTATTCCTGCTGATGTCAGTGAGGCATCCAAATATGTTTAATCTGTTACTAGGTAAAGGATTAATAGTAATTCTCTAAACAGAAAATGGATGAGTGACTTACAGATTCATTCTTGGTACATATTTCTTATAAGCAGTATTTAGTGGCTTGAGCCCATTATTTTTGTTATGTGCAGTGAGTGGTAAAGCATCCTGTTTTTGCTGCACAGTTACGTTTTAATGGGTTTTTCAACTACAGTTTCTACTCCAGGTTATATTTCTCAAGCTAATTTGGTATTTCACTTACATCTGAAACACATACAGATAATGGCACAGGAGGCAATTTCAACTTTGAGCTCAAGATGCCTGTAAAAATAAACTTCCTAACAAGCTTTGTACCACAAACTCATCTCTATTGCAGTGATACAGATGAGCTGGTGACAACAGCAGTTTGACATGCATTTCTGAATCTTTCGAAGAGACCTGAGCTATAATTTACAGACTTCCAGGCAACTTTTTTAGGCAATCTGAAGTTCATTCAGGGACCTGCTCAGATTCCCTCCTGCTGTGTGCCGAGTGCTTGCACAATAGAAACGCTACAATAATCACATCTGTGCATTTCCATTAGTAAACTATTTGAAATACTGAACAGTTTTGTCAGTGCAGGCTGTTTTAAAAGCAAGTTTCATCTTCTATTGAAGATTAGAATCATAACCTCAAATACCTAAAACCGTGCGAGAAATTAAACTTCAAATTTTTCTGTTGATTTTTATCTATTGTTCCTTCCAGCAGCTCTGAGTAAACATGATCCTTCCTATTAACTATTTCAGTTAATTCCAATTAATATTATCAATGGGCTTTAAAATAATAATATTACTTTCTGTAACAAGTGTGCTACTATTTAAAAATACAGTTTCTTTCAATGCTTTCCCAACACCAGGCTAGAATTTTCTACCATGGATAATAGGAAATATATAGACTATTAGACTGAGAAGTTATCCTTCTCAGCTGCCTGGGTGGACAAGGGTTATTCATCACGGTATCTCACAGAGAGCCATAATTGTGAGCAAACATTCCTTGCTTTAACTACTATTTAATACAGCTGAAGAGCTGTCAGGCTGATTCCAGGTAAGAGGACACATCTGTGGTTTTTGTGGGTGTTACACAGCTGCAGAAACGCTTTCTTCAGGGAAAGCTAAAATGAGCAGGTTCTTCTCGCTAAAACCAGAAAAATTTTCTTTAATCAAAGATCTTATTACACTATTCATAAAAAGTGGAGCATCAAACTAACGAGACTTCATTCATCTCTGAAACAGCTGAAGTACGTTTCTTGACACAAGGGGGAGGTCTTGCTCCTTTTCTTCTATTTCTGTTTCCAGGCACCTCAGGAAACATCAAGTTGTTCAACACCAGTGCCAGGCTGAACTGATGCTTGAATGCAGCTACAAGAAAAAGGGCTGCCCAAGTCCCCTTCCGAAGACTAACTTTGCCCCCCCCTGTTGAAACAACAATAGCACTAGTAAGACCCCACAGTGAGTGAGCTCAGAACGTCAAATACTAAAAAAAAAAAAAAAAAAACCTCATCTCTTTCTGTACAGCTTTTGTTCATTTCATCTCCCTGATCCTACTCACACTTTGGGCTCAGACCTCAGGCAGCAGGAGGGGTAGGAGTGTGCCACCCCCAACAGCACTCTCTGTTTCCTGCTCTTCTTTGTGTAACTTCTCTATCTGACCTGGACAAAAACCACCAGGTCACATACCTTATCACAGCTAAGCAAACTGCTGGGCACCAGAGAGGCTGACAGTGTGACTGAACAAAAACTTTTATAGCTACACCTATAGACCATGACTGCAGTGTCACTCAAATTTGATAGTAGAATTTAACGAAGACACTTCACTCCTTCCCACACCTTCCCTTGGGCTGTGTTCCTGCCTCTGCACCATTCTCTACATTACGCCAGCCCAAATGTTTGTGCAGATGGGGAGAGAATGAGGTCATGGAATTGATCTTGTTGGGAAAAAGTAGGAGCCAAAAGAACCCAGGAAGCCCTGAAGCACGACAAAACAAAAACGAAAAACAAACCAAATACACAGCCAAAAATAACTGCAAAACCGCCAAATGGGAAGACATAGCCTCCAAGTGTGTACAAGCTGTTACGCATCCTTCAATCAGCCACATATTTGCTTAGGACAGAACGAAAATGGGACAAGCTTGTAGGTTTTTCCAACATTTTACGGCAGCAGGCTTGTTTCTGCCAGCCTGTTCTGGAAGAGTGGAGTAGTATGCAAAAACACCATTGCCCTTTGTCTCATCATAGCAGCACTTAGCTTCTTTTTACTTTTTTTTGGCATGTTCCTGTCTCAAGTGTCCATGGAAATAGTTCCATTAATTTCAGTGGGAGGTGTCTGTACTGGTATGCTCTTGGCAGAGATTGTCATTAAAAATCAGACAAATTCTGAAGAGTTCAAAAGTGACTCCTGAGCACATCTCACAATTACATGTTTGATTTCTTCAAAAAATTGCTTGATTTATCAAACAGTTGAAACAAACTAACACCACCTTTCCAGTCAGCATTGCAGTCAGCACAGCAAAAAAGGAAAATAAGTGCTCTCCTTCTCCGGCCACAAGATGGGAAGAGACTTATCAGTACGACAGGTAAGTGAGCTTAAGTACTGTACACAAATTGGAAGACTGATACCCTGCAGATACACCTACCATGTTTCTTGAAAATAAGACATCAGCAGACCACAGAAGCTGTGATTAAGGAATAACAATAGATCTCCAATGCTGTTAGAGAGATCTTTTTCCAGACAATATTTCAACTTTTCCACATAAATGGCAAGCAGAGTTAGGAATTAGACAGGTCCTATTTTTCACTTAGATCCATCCATAGTATGGTTCGTGGCACACATAAAACCAAGGTTTCATGTGCAACGCCTTAAAACCTGTATGGAGATTTTTTCTATCATGCATGGAGATTCACACGTTATTTAGATTTTATGGTCATTCACATATTACCATCGTTAAATATATTAAAATACAACGTTACACATATGGATTCACAGCTTCTTGACTAGATGTATTTTTTAATTGATTGCGCCTCAAAATGAGGCATCACTTGCTACTGCATTTTCCAAACTGTACTTTCCAACTGCTTAATGGTCTTTCAGACCATTTACCAGCTAGAGGAGATCTGGAGCTTATGAAGTCTCTATCACTTCCTGACTCAGTGACAAAAGGCCTTCTGTGATCTGGTGCACTGTTTTTCAGCTTCCTATTTATGGCAGCAATAGCACAGATAAAGCACTGCATTTTAACTACAGCATCATGGAGACTTGCCCTAAATGAAGCATTCATGATCTCCTTTCACTGCCTCCAATCCAATCCAATCCATTCTAATGAGCCCCCAAGTAATAGATTCAGAAGAAACAGATCAGTAGCACATACACTAATGTATTTTTCCCCACTGTTTCTTCACTGTGAAATTGAAATCATGGACAGAAATGAAATACAAATGTGAAGTGGAAAACAGTATAAAATACTTCAGAGAACACAGTTGAAGAAATTCTGTATGGAAATATCAAGAGCAGGGAAAGACACAAAAAAAAAAATAGGGAAAAAGAAATTGCCCTTTCATTCAAGATTTAGAAACAATTTTTTGCTTTCAGAAATGAATAATATGCATGCATCTAATCCTGTACCCATTATAGCATACAAACAGTGCTGAGGATTTCTCCTGAAATGAAACAAGCTTCTCATTTGTCACATGCCTAAGAATTGAGCATACATAACCCAAGGTCTTCAGAGATGGATCACCGCAGTGCACAAATGCTCTGGTGCTCAAATAAGAAAACGTTAGTAACTGGCAAAAAGGGACAGATCATCAGCAAAGCAAAAAGAGGGAGTAATGCAAAAGCAAAAAAATAAAGTAATTACAGTCCACTCTCCCCACCCCCAAAGACTGTTAGCAACTTCCTTTCCAAAGTTAACTTTGACAGTTCAACTTACTTCTACAAAGTTAATCCAGTTACTGAAAATGATGATGAAGCAATTTTAAAAAGCAATAACTGTCAAGAAGAAAGAAAAACAGACTTACATCTCTTGATTGCTGCTCTTATGGATGACAAGGGTCCTTGGCTTAATAAAAAAGAAAAAAATGATTACTCAGTGGTTAGCATCTCAAAGAGAACAACTAAGCAGCATTGTGTAGAGGATTCCTATACACTACACAGGGCTTGCCAAATTCAAGCCCAGCTATCTTAAAGAAACACATTTAAACCCCCATGTAGAAAAACAACCATACCCTACACATTCCAATGCTAACCAGGTTACAGCTTAGCTTAAAGACTCTTCAAAGATAGTAAACCATTTTTGAAAAGACATTTGTTCTCTTGATTCTGTACTGAAGTTCATACTCTGACTCATTTGACTGTGACACCTGGAAAAGAGCCCATGTGGGTGTGTATATTCTCAGATTATTAGCATTTAATGACTTAACATCCCCATAAATAAATAAAACTTACACAGCCAAGCAAAAACACCTATGACCCCTCTGCTAAATATTTTGAACGGTTAGTTAATATCTGATACCTCCACTTTAAGATGAGGTTGCATTTTTCAGTAATAACTTGGTGGGTGGGGTTAGACAGGAATACAACATGACCAAAAAGTTGTTGACACACAAGGACAGAAAAATGTTTTCTTTTGCCAGCTCATCTGCTTTCTTGGCAAGACTAAGGCTTCTTACTACTCTCTCCTGAAGCTCTTACTTAAGAGATCTAACAGCCTTTAGTAACTTTGCAAAAGTTACTTGAGATTATTATTCCAGAAAGTGCTGCTAACTTGACAAACATGATATTAATTAACGTGCCACACGTAAAAAGCTACAGAGGAGTTATTTAAAAAAAAGCAACAACAAAACTATTTCAGAAAAAGTCTATTTCTTGCAACACAATGGGTTAAGAACACTCCATGAGACACCATCAATAGAATATTCGGCACTTTCTAAAGACTGCAAAACAACTGTATCAGATTCAGTGTAAGACATTAATTACCAAAAAAAGACATACGACCTGAATCAAGCCTTTTCCAGAACCACCACCCCTGCAGGCTTCATCAGTGGCCACACCAGCAGGAAAGTTACAGAGAAGGCAGGAGCACTTTGCAGTGCTCTCTCCACACTCAGAGCAAGCGTGCCACACTCAGACTGTCAGTGCTTGCTTTGGCTGCACACACACTTCCACTGCAACTGCTGAAGACTGCAGCTGCATCAGTGGGAATAGAGCATTTGGAGAAGAGAAGAAAAAGGCACGTGCAAAGAACAAGTGTGAAAAATGTCCTCCTTCCAAAGACTAGGAACGGACATTGCCCTGACCTAACTGTCTTTTGAAATAGTTTGGCTCACCTAGGGTAAAAGCAAGGCTGATGTCTGCTTTCAGTAGCAGCTCAAGAGTAGCTCAGTCCCTATCAATGCAGCATTAGAACACATTTCCATCAATCATATTCTACCATACATTCTTAGCAGTAAAGGGATCTTCTCTTTCAAAACGCTCCATGATACAGCTCATCTTCGAGAAACATTTTAGTTGCATGTTCTTCCCTGATGTAACTCAATCACTTTTTTTCTTCCTTATAACTCAACTCTTTCTTTCCTATGTCTATTTTTGCAGCACTGTTCTTCTGTCTTCATTGCTAGGAATAACTGCAATATTTAGGGCTTTATTTTTATTATATTTAATATTGGGCGGGAAGGAGACTGAAGTCTGCTACTGTGAATCTTAAATCTTTCAGAGGAGCAAATACTTTCTATACTCAGAATTCAACATGTCTTCAATGTTTAAAGCTGGAAATTAGGTAACGTATAATGTATGAATACCTAAGCATCAGTAAGACCCAAATGGAGCAGGTTAAGTTCTTTCTTCAGTTGGCAAGAGCACCTTGAATTGTTTCAATTTGCCTCAGAATCTGAGGAGCACATTGAGATGAGAGCAGGAACTTGTGGCTCAAAACAATTGCAGTCGTCATATATGCACAAGTCCACATTCTCTTAGCAACATACTAACTAAAAAAATGTATAGAAAAATAACTTATAATCACAGTGCAAAGAACAAAGAAGCAAAATCTTTCATTAAACCAACCCAGTGAAGCTGAAATATGAATATATCATCAGCCAAGCAGTTCAAGTACGCAACTCTCCATGTAATTTAGAACCCAGAATAACATGATTCTGTTAGAAAATTTATTAACTCACAGACAAAGCTATTATCAGATAATTTTTCTTTTCCTCTTTCTATTAACAAGTTATCATCCAAACCCTTCCTCTCCTTTGGCAAAGGACTGTTTCCTACACTCAGGAGAGTTTGATTCACATTTAACTTAAAATTATTTAAGCCTTCTGAAAACAAAGAAATAGGAATGAATTTAGATTATTATTATTTGCCATGAAATCCTATAAGGGGACTGAAAGTTCCATAACTTCGCTATGTATTGAACACCAGTAATTTAAAAAAGATGCTGTTGTTAGGGCAAACTGTGATCGTACCTGCACTCAATGCTGAGGTAACCCTGCCCTATTCCAGAAACAACAATTTCTAATCTCCTGCCCCATCGTGCAGAATGAGGAGTGATAAGGTTGCTAACATCCTCCTCTGCTCCACAGGTAACGAACACATTTTCTCTCAAGAGATCCAAATAATTAGCAATACCAAATTGAATTCAGTTCTCCTATTTGATGTGTAGGAGCTATAACAGTGATTCTAATTAATGGAGACCCTGCCTCTTTCCCTGCATCTTCCTCCTGTAACAGAGAGCAGTGAACCAGAGCATGCACAGAAACCCCACAAATACCCACATCAAGGAAAAATAAAGCAGGGATGAGTTCAGTCTGCATGTGATCTCTGATCCTGGTTCCATCATGAGTCTCCAGACAGTTATGTCAGAAGCACTGGGAGGAAGACATGACATCAGCCAGCCCGTTGGGGGGCAGCAGCACCCACACTGTCCCCACAGCATGCATAGGTAGAACTCCAAACTCAAAGGGCAGGCAGAAAAATGAACGGACAGCAAGACTTGGGCACTTTCACAGCATTTGAGACTGATAAACATTAGTTTAAACACCACCCCAGGTGTAAATAATATGGAGCAAGTAGAGATGCAAACTCTTACACTTCTTGCACACTAATTAACCAGGCAAGAGAAGACAACCAGAACACTTCTTCCAACATCTATGGATTTGTCCTAGACCTCGCTGACTGACAATTTAATGCACAGAGTTTGCTCAGTTCCCAACTAAGGCAGCAGTTCTGTTGAGCTTCCTAAGCCAGCCCCTCACAACAGGGAACTTGCCATCCCTGTGCACCTATGCAAACTACCTCAGTTGGTTCAGAGGGGATCCATCAAGCTGCTGTACTTGCTTGCTGAAGGTAGTCAAATATCTCAAGCCAGCATCACAAGGGGCCCATTTCCACCCCAACTGATTGCAAGGCAGCTCTGCTCCTGGGTGTAGGCAGACATTGATGCTGGGCATAAATCACTCTAGACACACAAAAAAAAGGCTGGTGGGGAAAAAAAAAAAAAAAAAAAAAAAAAAAAGGTCAACCCTTGTTAAAAAATATATATGTACTGAAGCATCTGCTACCAAGCCTCAAAATTTATCGCTTACATCACATTATACAGGGCTTTTTTCAAAATATCTGTCCTCCAGTTCACATACCTGTTTAAGGAGCACTTAGCATATTTTCAGTTGGGATGGTTACTGACTCTCTTACATGCCCCTTTACTAAGTTCAAACTTTTTTTAATACCTTTTTGCTTTTTTTTTTTAATACCTTGAGACTTCCTGGAATGCTAGCAAAGAACTTTCCAATAGCTGTTGTTGAAATTATTGCAATACTATGTATAGTACTACAATAAAAGACATCACACATTCCTCTCTGTTACTTTATAACTCATACTACCTTTGTAACAGTGAATGTACTGCCCAAGACTCAGCTTCACCCTTGGTTTAAGATAGAAAACCACGCAGTCAGCAGTGCTCCCTTCCCCATGCCCACCATCTCCTCCAGCCCTTTCATGTTGGTGCTGACATAGCTACAAGTCTGCCTGACCAACCTTGTGATTGCGCTCTTAAGAAGCACAAGGTCTGCCCCAGACAGCCAATGAGTTCTCAGCCAGCCCAGCCAACAGCTCCAGCTAGCTGCAGAGCTCCCAAGAGCACCAGGGTGATGCAAGAGGTGTGGTGCGAAGGGCAACTGGGGAGGTCAGGGGCTCCCCTCGTGGGAAGTAGCTTGGCCTTTGCTCACCAAAACACATCTTTAGCCCGTGACTAATGCCATACGTGCAGCTAATCTGACAGCAAATTATCCAGTGCTAATCCTGCCTCAGGTCAGCATTCTTCTCACCCCTCCCAGGAGCTGATGCACTCCTTTATTTCGGTTTCCTGCTGGCGCTGGTTACTCTGATCAGCTCACTGGGAGATCAGAGCAGCACCAACAAAAAGCAGCTGGCAGCAGCCAGGCACCTTAACACGCAAACACATCCATACCATCTCTGCTGAGTAATGGGGTATTGTCATAGCCCTGTGAGTACAAAGGCTGATAAAGATCCAGTCACCTAACAAATCAACCATGTCTGCATTATCGAGCATTTATCTTAGAAATAGTATTCACCCTGGTACAACTTCACCTCTCTCCAAAGTCTGAGCCCAAAAGCAAGCAATCCTGAAGCAGTAATTAAGTCCAGTGACAATTCAATCCTCATCATTATGCTGCAGATGTCTATGGCTGCATTGCTAAACGAATGCAGCAACTGTGACTTCCCACTGTCTGGACAAGCAAAGATAGCTAAGAAGCATCTGAAATCCAGCTGCTCAGCTAATTAGAACAGCTCACATTCATCAGCATAAGGAAATCCTTTCAGAAATGTTCTCTAGCTGCTTCTTCAGCTACTTTCTAAATATTCATGTGCTCACCACTGTCACACTTGGGGATGGTATTTCAGCAACTGAACCTCCAATTTTGTGGTCGAACACTGGCAGGACGTCAAAGCAGATCACGGCAGCAAATGCAAACATTTCACCCACCAAGCCTTGCAAAAAAATCCAGTCTCCAGGTTGCAACAGCTTTCACAGTTTCCCAAGTC